GGTCCAAGAGGAGTTTCGTCAAGTCAGCTGATGTGGAGTAATAACAACTGTAACCTTCTGCCATCAGGAATGTATCTTCCTATCCAAAAAATAAACCTTTGTTTTAGTGGGAACATGCAGAAAACTAAATCCTAGTTATCAACTCTGAGCATTAGAAGCCAAACATGTGTATACAAATATTTAAAAATAAGTTTAGAGAAGAACATATTGGCAGACATCTTTATAAAAAGAAAGAAGGTATAATTGAACCAAGTATAATGGAGTTGCACAATGACATCTTCTGAGCTGTTTTAAAACATAACATTAACATGACATTTTTGTTCAAGACAACAAATTATACAAACCAATGAGGCACAATTTAAGAGTTCTTGCACAAAGCTACTTTAGTATATGGAGAAAAGGATCAACGTTGGTGAACAGCAGTGTGGATGATGGTAGGGGGGGGGAGTATAGGAACAATGCATCATTAGGGTTAGTTTCACTAGAATTGTTACTGACATTTCTGTATGAGGAGGAGTCCTAGCTGTATTAATGGTAATGGTAATTGTAAGTCATTTGTTTTACATGTCTGTTCACTTTCAGCTAAAGTTACTTATCATACTAATTAGCAGGAGAGACAAAAGCTGAACATACATGAATGTTGCACTTTGGTGGTCACTGGGTTATTATGAATTATGTTCATAATAAGATGATGATGTTTAGCTGATGATCAGAATGTCAGAAATAAAGTAGAGAATTGGAGTAACATTCAGAATTAAAAACCATATATTGTATGTGATATTTACTGCATGATGTGTCTTCTGTTTTACAGGGATCAGTGCTGGGACTCCTGTGTTTGTGCTGAAGGGAGAGGATGTGCTTCTGAATGTCACCGAAGCTGTTGTTCTTGGGGAATTTGATTTATTTGTCTGGAAATGTAATGAAAGTAGCATAGTGAGATTAAATTCTAAGGACAAAAAAGTCTCTGCTAATTACACTGGAAGGCTTGAGTTTCCTGAGAACAATTACTCTGTGAAGTTGAAGAATCTCCAAGAGGCAGACAGTGGAGTTTACTCTGCTGAAGTGACAAAGGAGTCAACAGAAGAAGTAACTAAATACAACGTCAAAGTTCAAGGTAGGTTTGTTAACCTCTCAAACACTGATAGAGTTTCCGTGGTCTTGTTTCTAAAACTCTTCACCTGCTTCTTCCCTCCTCAGATCGAGCGTCTCTCCCTCTCCTCACAGTGAGCTCTGTCTCCAGAAACTCTTCCTCCTGTAGCTTCACTGTGACCTGCAGCTCACAGGACTCTCACATCAACAGCACTTTCACCTGTGACAACCAAACCTGCAGTCAGGAGGGAGGAGAGCGGTCAGACGGGATCCCTGATACTTTTCTCCAGGTCCACCAATTAAGTGGATCGATCATATGTAACCATAGCAACCATGTCAGCTGGACCAACACTACCAAAATAATCAAAGATGTCTGCCACCAGCATGATGGTAAGATAAATTACTTCCTGATAATAACGCATAGTTTGGAATTTAAAGTTTAACAAAACTTCTTTGAAGTTTTGAACTTTAATACAAATTAATTCAGTACATCATGTTTTACGCATATAATGTGCTGTTGGTCTCGTATATAGAACCTTTATATAAACCTCTGAACTTGAATATTTGTATAAGAACAAAAATATCTGCATATTTGAAGAACAGAATAAACATGAAATCAACATTAAACCCCCCCCATGCTGTTTGACATTGCATCATGCATATCGACAGTCTGTAAAACTCAACTGTACTTTGCAGTGCAAGTCTTTCACAATGTAGGACTCAAAGTACTTGCAAACTGTAAAGTACTCAAACTGCTATCCAAATAAAGTAGTAATCACTGAGTTGCTGCTTCCACTCAGTTGTGCGTCTCAGTCTGGATCTCTGTGTCGGTTTTGATATGAAACTCTCTGTTTGTTGTGTTTCAGATCCAGAGGGGTTATCTGTGTGCCTGGTGAAGACGTGTGTGTTCTCTGTGGGTCTGATCATCATGGTGTCTGCTGTCAGCACGGTTCATCTCATGGAGAAGCTCAACAACAACAAATAAACTCATAGTTCTGGTTCCAAACCGGGGACAACGGGGACCCCTAGGGGTAGTTGGGGGGATTGCAGGAGGTGCGTAGAAAGATTAGGGGTTGCAAATTATTTCCAAACGAAACATTTTCAAATCAATTTTCATAAACCACACATCAAGAAATGTAGAAATCTATAACAAAAGTGTGCGGGCTCAAGGCTAGAAGTAGCAAACGTGGATATAAATATGTACACTTACAATGTACATGAGAATTCATATTGGCTACTCTTGATGTAAACATTGATGCTTTGCAAGGAAAACACAGAAGGCAGCTTTCAAGAAAATGCAGAATGTTCTTGTTAATCCAACGATTATATCAAGTCATCTGTTTGTAGGTCAAATCATTTTGTTGCCTTCAGAATACGGAGATTTAAAAAAACACAAATAACATCTTTATTTGTATGATAAAGATTTTTTTTTAAATATTTAGATTGTTCTTTGTATAGTTTGTTTTATGCTTGTTTACATTTTGAGTGAAAGCATACATGCGCCATTTAATAAAGCTTTTGTATTCCTATATTTTCCACTATCTATTATGTGTTAATGCAAATGAACAAATTACTCACATATGTTTGCAATGTATTTGATTGTACTAAAGATCATGTGTGGCAATTATTTATTTCACTCTGCTGTGACAATGTATCCCATTACATTTACTAATGACCTAACCATCAGTGACCCGATGTAAGTATCTGATATTCCTATAACGTAAACTAATTACTTTCCATTACTTTGGGACATGTCAATGCAATGCAAATAAACACAACAAGGCTTTTACCTAGGTGTAAAATATAAAACAACAGAACAATATAACCTTAGTTTCAACAATGTTCTTTCTATAACAAACAAAATATGCTTTTTTGTTAAGTTCACTGCAGTATATTAATTAAGAGCTTTCACAGCATGTTTAATAAATCCCCTGTCCACCCACTGAGCCTTCAAAGAGGGAAACAACTCATTGAATATTCAGGAAAAATATGGTCTAAAGATTTCAAATAAAAGGCTAGAAAAATATGAAATACTTTTTTATTTTAATACATGAAATACTCTCACATAACATGATATGACATACTCACATTCCACATTAGGCAAGGCACGTTTATTTATATAGCATCTTTCAACACAAGGCAATTCAAAGTGCATTACAAAAATGAAAGACATTAAGAAAATGGCATTTCAAAACAGTCATTAAAAAGCAAAGATAATAAAATAAACATTAAAAGAAAAAATACATGAATAATAGTTACAGTTTAAGATGTGAATAGTTCAATTAAAAGCTTAAAAGTCTTCAGCCTGGATTTAAAAGTAGTCAGAGTTGCAGCGGACCGGCAGGTTTACATTACATCACATTTATCTGACACTTTTATTGAAAGTGAGTTTATTGAAACAAAAAAAATAAAGAATCCTGCAGCTACATGAAACCACTAGACCTAGACTCATCAAATCTGGACTGGATTATCCCACAGAGGCTAAAGATTCTTTATAACAGATTTGTGAAACCTTTATTCTATTTGTGAAAATACAAGAAGGCATAAAGGCTTGCCCAGCTGGGAGGTTCACTCTCTGATCCTGATCCTGGCCTGCTGCAGCAACCTCAGCCTTGAATAAAGGTTTCACAAATCTCAAACTGTGTTATAAAGAATCTTTAGCCTCTGTGGGATAATCCAGTCCAGATTTGATGAGTATAGGTAAAGTGGTTTTTGATCAGGACCTGGTCTAATGTGGTCTACATGTAAAAAAAGCACTGAAATCTCCCTTTTTTGTATTTTCACAAATAGAATAAAGGTTTCACAAATCTGAAACTGTGTTATAAATAATCTTTAGACTCTCTGGGATAATCCAGTCCAAATAAATCGGCTATGCAGCGATTTAAGAGGTTCAAACACGGAGGATTGTTGGCTCAGCGCTGTAAATTAAATGTCCCTTAACTTTCCCCTTAACTGCCGAATCGGATGCTCTAAATCGGAAGCCAACTTCAGCGTCGTGATGTACGAGAAGATTAGCTTTGGTTTCACTCGAGACTCTGTGTTGTGAGCAGGGCCGGCCCTCGGCATAGGCAGTATAGGCGAATGCTAAGGGCGCATCAACCCATAGGGGGCGCCGAAAACTATTTTTTAAATTTCATAACAACACAATTTCCCGATTTTGGATCAACAAAGTGCATCTTATTATCTTATACTAACAGAAATACGCCTATATTGCGTAGAGCGCCCATAAACTATGGCACACACCCCCCCCAAAAAATCAAGTTGAACTGCCCCAGCCCCAGTAAAAACCAGGGGTTTATGTGAAATTGTTCTTTTTTCGAAATAATGGTTTTAGTTTGCAATTATGGGTTTTAATTTTGTATTTGTGTTAATTTAAAATAAATCAAACTCCCAAAAAACGTACACAGCTTCTGTGTGCTTTTATTAACATTGGAATTTACATTGTAAGCGGCCGCGGGGGTGAGAGCTTTAGAGAGCTCTCTCCTGAAAGACTGAGAGGCTCTGATAACCTCAGCTCAGTGAGGTAAAGGCACACCTTTATATGATCATTATAGTTATAAAAAAATAAGATAATAGGTGAAAAACAGGTATAAAATACTGACAGTACAAAAAAGTTGTTATTAATAAACAAGAATACAGTTTGAAAGGGGAGTGATTTGTAAAATATCCATAAAGAAAAAGAAAATCTGCTTACAGTTCTGTTTCATCTGGGTGTTGAGAGATGTATCCATAGAGCTCCTAATGTTGCTCTCAAAGTGCACCAGATTGATGCTTTTAACTTCAATATGAAAAAAAAAAGTCTTCCCGGGGGTGCATGCCCCCCGGACCCCCCTAGAGGAGGTGAGGTCCCCCCCACTTAAATCATGTTCAAATGGATAGGAAACTAAATACAGTTGCACACATCTTGTGTCCATATCTTTCTGTTTTGGTGGTCATGCCACAACCGTGCACGCACGAGTCATAGTAAGTGCTTGCATTTTGGGGGGGGGGGCGCCAGCTAAAATCTTGCCTAGGGCGGCAAATTGGTCAGGGCCGGCCCTGGTTGTGAGACAGTAATGATATATATATTTTTGTAACATTAAGGGAAGAAACTGTAAAAATAATTTGCATACAATAACATTAATTCCACTACATGTAATTTGTTACTCTCAAAGCCAGTTGTTAAACAGTGAGGAGAAGTAGGAGACAATCCAATGACCTTCTTGTTGTTAGCTATTAGTGGTTGCTGTTGCTCTTAAAGGTCTCCTATTATACTATTTTTAGGAATATATTATGGGTCTCAGATATATACAAATATATAACAAACATGTCTATGATGTGTTTTGCTCAAAATACAAAACAGATCATGTATTTTAGACTTCCCTATCCCTATATTCCAGCCCTGTTAGAGAAACGCTGATTTTGGGTCCTTGGCTTGAAAAAAAAGAATAGGAGGGGGAGATAATGCCTGATCAGAATTACCAGGCAGATACAGTTAAATTCTGCCGTGATTAAATGCCATATCATGTTCCAAACCACATCAAGGATTATTTCTGAAACAGTATGGAGCTCAAATGCTTTTTCTCTTGCGGGTGGATTTTCTCACCAAAAGAGAGTAATGTGAAAATAAAATCCATGGCTCAGTTGCCATAAATCGTAATCCCAAAAAGTGCAGTATGTGGAATACGACTCCCGATCATTTTCAAGGACCTGGTGTGGTATTTTTCACCTGAGCGTACACACTCTCTAGCTGAGCTGTGTTTCTAGTCTCAGTGGGTGCTGGGGGTCTAGTGTGAGGACCAACACAAGCGTAGCAGGAGGACAGAGGCAGAGCTGAATCTTCATCATTTGTTGGATCCTGAGTCCGGGCTGGAGCTCCGAACTGGAACAGAACAAAACATTGATTTACCAAAGTTTGTTTGTATAATATTGTATTTTTATGTCATATATTCCTCAAATTCAATACAATTCCATATTATTGACTGTAAAAGTGATAATGGTGTTTAACAAAAATGTAAGATTAATTTGTATTTTCAGTTAAAAGGCATGACATTTTAGGTGTTATTAATCAAAAGCAGAGTAAGGCCAGATAAGCAGAGACAAAAAAAGCATTTGCACTGCTAACACATACAGTACTTTGCATTTAGAGAAAGACACGGGAAATGACAACATATTCAGTCACATTTTTGAGTGAAAAGTAAAAAAAAAAACCTTGTCTCTTACCTGAGCAGTATCATAAACTGTATTTTCGACAATCACTCTTTTTCCTGCAGGTCAGTAAAAAAGAAAAAAATGTGGATTTGCTTTAATTTACATTACATTTTGAGAGCTTCACCTTTCATTTTGAGAGCTTCACCTTTAATGAAACATTAAAGATTCATTAAAGATTCTAATCTAATCTAATCTTAATGCTTATTACCTTCATAACATTTACATTACTTGAGCTGCATCTGAATTGAGTCCAGATGTTGGTTGTGTCCTACAGTAATCATCTTTTTCAAACAGCTGAACACTTGAAAGCCTCTGGGTATAGAATATTATAAAGAGTATGTTTCTGTATGAGAGGTTTCAGATGTGTTTTATGTGATTGCTCAACAGACAATAGGGATGTGTTGGTGGAATATGATGAACTTGAATAAAACACTTAATTCCCACAGGAAACAAAAAGTTAAAATGCACACTTAGACTTACTTGTTCTCGTTCGAAGACACCAAAGTACACCAATGATGGCGAGAATGAGAATTGTGAAGAATACTCCCAAAATGATGGGAACAATGTTTTGTTGTCCAATATCTGTACATAAAAACGTAAGTCACATTATAATGCTTGGTTAAATTCATAAACTTAGTCAAGTGTATTACTGCATCACATCCTGCCAGACTGTTAGATTTAATTACACAAGATGTTTTAGATTGTTTGCTTTAACCCTAATATCTTAAACAAAACAGTTATTCAGTTCAATGTGAAACTACCAAACTTCCAAAGTTCACTGAATAAGAAAATGTAAGCACCACCTGGCTCTTGTTCAATCAAAGCAACTGTTATAGCAGAATGTTTAATACAGCGTATTTCTGACATTCATTAAAGATCACTTGATATTCCATATGATGTGTGTTACTGAGTTGGGTCACACACAGTTAGAGAGACAATGGTCGTTCTGAATTATCAATAGATGTATTCATTTTAAGTGAGCTGACACCGAGGGTATAGGAAGTTCAGAGAAGGCCTCAGGTTATAAAAACAGTTAACCTTTGTTAGTTAACTAATCCTAAAGATGTCGTTTAAACATATACAAGTATAGCTTTCAGAGAGAAAAACATGTGACATTTGTGAGGCAGGCTGCATGATAAAATGTGTGTGTTCATTGCAGTGGCTATATATGCTGTATGATTGTTGCTGCTGTCGGGGGGCATTTCCGCGATTGGCTGCTGTGGCAGCAGGTGATGTACTTCCCATTATTGTTTGTTTGTTGCAACAATTAAATAATAATTACTGATCAGCTATATCTGTGTTTGTGTTTTATTGATTCCTCTCTGTTTCATTCTTTCCTGTTGTGTTATGCTGGATCGCGACAACACAACGCTGGTAGATAATGATAGCTGGTTTAGATGGTCAAATTACTGGAGCAGAAACTTCCCCAGTTTCACCGACTAATTCCCAGTTTAGTTTTATAAACTACAAAATACTTAATTAAAACACTTAATTGTAGTTGAAAGATAGGGCTCATCATTATATTTTTGTATACAGGTTTAACTGAAACGTGCCATTAAGAACAACAAGCTCTTCATTTGTTTTTATGCACTTTTCTAGTCTTTTTCGTCCTGTCTGAAAAACACTGCTCACAGCAGCTGACAGTAAAAGAGGTCATGTTGAGACGAGGACAGAAATAGTTTGCAGTATTTGCACTGCAAATGTTTTTTTGTAATTGGTTCAATGCATGGATGTATAATAATAACTGGATACAGCGTGGGAGGCGGGGTCTCGTTCTTTCCTATGAGAGCTGCTCATTGGCGCATGAGGACAAAATGGCCCAACTTTTGAGAGAGCGAAATGTCACAGATTACCCATCATGCCTGGCTGTCAGAGCAGAAGAACCCGTATGTGCGCTCACAGAGCATGCGCCCCTTAAGCCCCGCCCCCCGAGCTCCCACTCTCGGCCAAGCCCCCAGGAAGTGCGGAACGGCGGTACTACACTTCCTTTAGGTTGCTGGGCCCGGAAATGTTGTATTAAATAAAGTTAATATTACCGACGTAGATTAACGTTCCTGTAGCTTCTTATTGCACTTGCAATTGTTTTAGTTACTTGTGGGTTACTTAACATGAATAATCACAGTTACTATCCTTTTACTCCATCACATTTCAAAAAGAAATAGGCTATTGTTATTTTAACTCCACCACAGTAATCCATCATCAGCTTTACTTTTTAGATAAAGTTTTAACTCACAATTGATCATAACAGGCTTCAACATATACAATTTTATATATTACCAAGTGGTTTCATGTACAACCCACACAAGTATCATGCTAAATGAAGCTCTGTTGCCTGGATATCACTAGATCCTGATGTCAGCGTAATATAAAAGTACATAACGATTGATGTGTAACTTAGCATAATTTACTAGCTAGTCGCTAGCTGCTAACTGCCGCCTCGTTAATATAAATCCAGTACCATGCTGTCATGAACGCATGGTGCTGTTACGTGTACGCAAATTCACGTGCTTAATGTGAACGAGCCTTTTGGGCGGCGTGGTTAAAGTTGCGCATGCTCTATGAGTGCACATACGGGTACTTCTCAGGCATCCCGGTTAATCTGTGACGTTTCGCTCTCTCTCAAAAGTTGGGCCATTTTGTCATCATGCGCTAATGAGCAACTCTCATAGGAATGAATGAGGCCCCGCCTCCCACGCTGTATCCAGTTCTTATTATACATCCATGCTCTCGGCTCAATAGAATGAATGGAGACAGAAAATAAATCTAGATTCCTCTTTTAGTGCATTTTACAACTTTAAGGACCTAATGATTATAATAAGGGCTATAAAATAGTTCATACTGGGTAGTTTTTTTTAAATGATCCGCTGATTTACAGACGTCTCTTTCCCAATGTTAGTCAATGGGAAAAAGTATTTCTGGGCCCAGTGACGTCACGGACTGATACGGAAATTGTAGTACCGCCGTTTGGACATAACGAATATTTTCCTCAGAGTCTGGCGCTCTTCCTGGGGGCTTGCTTCAATGAGGTACAAATAAACTCTTCCTTTAAAGTGCACCTATCATGCTATTTTTAGGCAATAGCATAGGTCTCAGATATATAAAAATATATTAAAAACATGTCTATGAAGTGTTTTGCTCAAAATACAGATCACCCATTCTAGCCATGCCTCATATCCTCTATTTCACTTCCTGTTTCAAAAGTGCTGATTTTGGGTATGAAGCAAAAAAAAAAAAAGCCTTGATAAAAAAAGAAAAGGAGGGGGCTGAGCTCATGCAGGACCCGGCAGCTACTGTCTAAACTAAATACTGTCGTGATGAAACACCATATCATGGATTATCAAGGATTATTTCTGAAACAGTATGGAGCTCAAAGGCTTTCTCTCTTGCCGGTTATACCACAAGGTGAGTTCCTTTTTATTTCCTGCTTCTTCACACACATTAGCGATGCTAATGTAAACACCGACCATATTATGTCCAAAACAGTCGGGCATTGTTTCTGATAGCAAAGTTGCTGATAGGGCCGTGGATGTAAAGCCAGCCTACATTTCCGATATTACGTCATATCGGACGCAAATCTGGATCATCTCCGTTGTAGCCCCATTTTTAGAGATTTGGGTACGGAGGAAAAGAGGGAAGGTTTTATTTTCTGATGCTGCGTGAGTTCCCTGACACACCGGGGGTACATATGTATGTATAAAAGACATACAAAAGTGCATTTTGCATGATAGGTCCCCTTTAAATGTTTTTAGAGCCTGAAAAACAGAGTAATACATGGGTTTTGCTATATTTATAACAAACAGTATTTGTCACACTGTGGAATAAAATGTATCTTATTTACAGACATATAAAAGTTTTGGATAAAAAAAGAAGCTTGTATGCTCTGATGTTCTGACTCTAAATGGTGTGTTATTATCAGGAAGTAGTTTCTCTTTCAGTCTTACCAAAATGTTTGGGGCAGACATCTTTGATTATTTTGGTGTCGTTGGTCCAGCTGACATGGTTGCTATGGTTACAGATGATCAAGCCATTTGATTGGTGGACCTGGAGAAAAGTATCAGGGATCCCCTCTGACCGCTCTCCTCCCTCCTGACTGCAGGTTTGGTTGTCGCATCTGAAAGTGCTGTTGATGTGAGAGTCCTGTGAGCTGCAGGTCACAGTGAAGCTACAGGAGGAAGAGTTATCAGAGACAGAGCTCACTGTGAAGAGAGGGAGAGACGCTCGATCTGAGGAGGGAAGAAGCAGATGAAGAGTTTTAGAAACAAGACCACGGAAACTCTATCAGTGTTTGAGACGAAACCTACCTTGAACTTTGACGTTATATTTTGCTAATTCTTCTGTTGAATCCTTTGTCACTTCAGCAGAGTAAACTCCACTGTCTGCCTCTTGGAGATTCTTCAACTTCACAGAGTAATTGTTCACAGGAAACTCAAGCCTTCCAGTGTAATTAGCAGAGACTTTTTTGTCCTTAGAATTGAATCTCACTATGCTACTTTTATTACATTTCCAGACAAATAAATCAAATTCCCCAAGAACAACAGCTTCGGTGACATTCAGAAGCACATCCTCTCCCTTCAGCACAAACACAGGAGTCCCAGCACTGATCCCTGTAAAACAGTAGACACATCATACAGTAAATATCACACACAATATACTGTATGTTTATTGGTTCAAAAGTGAATATTTCTCTATTCCTACTATATGTAATTATAAAAAACCTTCATCTTATGAATAATCAAAGGTTGGAAAATATCTTTAAATCTTGGATTAGCTTTGACACTTGAAGCTGCTTAGAGGCATTTATCAGGTGAAAGTTAAGTATATGTTTCTTTTTCATGTGAGAAATTATTTCCATTCTGTCTCGTATGAAAAACAGGGGACTTTCTTACACCTTGTTCACTTGTTTTTGTTCCACAGATTTAACTGTTCTTAAGGTTAAAAAATAAAATGTAATATTAAAACTAAAATCTAAAAAGAACTCCAAAAGCATGTACTTCCCTCTAAATGTGACACTTTGGGAACAGAGGGATCAGAATATAATTGTGATCTTCCTATGGATCAACGTCTTCATAAAGATATTAATAGTTTTGAATAATCTTAACATCCGGTGATTTTAGTTCACGTTTCTGCTGTAATTTACATTCACTTACACTGAAGATTAATTTCCTTTATATTACCGGGACCTTTGTGACACTTGGGCGTGGTTTCAAACTTCAGTAGATATCAAAATAGCCCAATACAATTTTAAATGTTATCAGCATCACCATAACATTGAGCACATCACTGAGCATTTTTTACATTTCTCAATTCAAAAATAGAACATAAAGGGTCTAATCTTACTTATTGTTGCTTACGTAGGGCTACAGAACAACAACATGAACTTTGAAAACAAAAAAGTTGATCAAAAGCAAGAAATATAAATAAAATAAAGTTCTTACCTTGTGATTCACATGAATTCAGTAGGTAAACGACAGTGAGAAGTATAATATAAAACCTCATTCTGCAAGATGGGGAAGTGGGGAAGTGTTTCTGAACCAAGTTGGCTTGACCCTTGCTTTTTATTCCATGGCTCTCTGTCCTTACACAACACTCTAGATGAAGAGGAAGTAAGAATAAGACAACATTCCCGGGGAAAAGAGAAAACTGACGAACAAAATCACAATTACATTCTCACAACACTCACCTCTGGTGGTTGTCCTGATATCATTCTCGTCTTGAATGAGAAAGGACTTTCAAATAATGCGTGATGTTAGTTTTTCTTGTTGTTGTTCTGGACTAAAACTGAAGATGTCTGGTTCTCTTAAAACAGTTATCTGTACGTTTCTGTGTTTTAATTCTCACACAACTATCACACAGTTTGCAGAAACATGTATCCCAAGTGCAGCTTTCTTTTGAAAGTATTTTGCTCTCAGTATGTATTGAGTAAGAAAATGCAGAAGTACCAACTGCTTGGCTCAGCAAGTCACATATGGTTAACTTGTAAGTGCCAAACATAGGAAGCAAAGTTGTGATCAGATGTGATATGCATGGAAGAAAATTGCAGAATTGTGTTTTAGCAGCATTTTATATGTACATTTAGAGTTTCGATAACATAACACCTTTTGCTTATTTGCAAAATGGAGCACAGTTTGGTTGTTTGTTTGTTGGTACGGTGCAAATAGAAGTTAACGTCTTCACATCATGCAAAAGGTTGTGTGGTTTTAAAAGAAAAAAAACCAACTGTGAAAATACTTGGTGGTGTTAGAGCCAAACAGGAAGCACACATTATTGTATGGAGTATTCAGAGACTGTCATGTTCCTCTTCGTGATTCTGGGGCTGCTGGTCTGCACTGAGGCACAAGGTACGATAAAAACAAGTCTAATTCAATGTTTTAACATTTATCAGATTTAGCTCAAGTATGTGAGCAGGCTTCTTCAGTTTGAAAAATGTACTCAGAACAAGTTATTGGAGATGTTTCATCTTAAAACATGTCAGGGGTAGATAACCTTCCTTTGTTTGTATAATGACATGAAGTGCTCACAAACGAAAGAAGAGGAAGTGATGTCTAAGAATTCCAGAGAAATGTAACTCAGAGTAAAGTCATTTTATTACAGGAAATATGTCCTGCTTTGTGTTAAACAATACTCTGTGTAACATTTATAATAGTTTTATTGCAAGATTGTAAGATCAAAAAGTGACATGTGTAGTTTTCTCAAGTGAATTTATTTGCAGTCAAAAAACTGATCGCTTCTTACTGCCTATAACAATTCATCGTTTATCCATAAAAACAGTCGGTTATTCAGGAGCAAAATGCAGAAAACAAAGCCTGGTTGTCAGTGCTTTGCATTAGAAGCCAATTATTTTTGAATAAAACATTTAAAACAGAAGAAGTTTAAAGAAAAAAAATGTTCTGTGAAACTTACATAAAACCAGCACACTGAATTTAATGTTAACATGTAGAACAATCTATCTGTGAAATTGAAGAATCTCCAAGAGGCAGACAGTGGAGTTTATACTGCTGAAGTAATGAAGCTTTCAGGAGACGAAACAGAAGCAGCTAAATACAAGATCACAGTTCAAGGTAGGTTTGTTAACCTCTCAAACACTGATAGAGTTTCTGGTCTTGGTTCAAAAACTCTTCACCTGCTCCCTCCTCAGATCGAGCGTCTCTACCTCTCCTCACAGTGGACTCTAGAGGTTTCTCATTTCTCTAATTCCCCTCCTAGACTCCTCTCCTCGTGTCTTAGTCCCGCCCACAGGATTTTGTCTCATGGGCTGCGTTTCACTTTGGTTAAATGGATTCCTTGCTTCCCTCACTTGCGTTGTTTCCCTGTGACTAGTCCCTCCCACCAGGGAAGCAAGGAGAGCAAGGAAACCACGAGAAGCAGGGAAATGAGTTTTAAGAGCAATGGGACGTTGTTTCCTCCGGAGCGTCACGTGAAGCGACTTCCGTTTGTGATGACGCCGCACAATAAAATCATTTTATTCATTTTTGGGAAACATTTTCATGATCGCTTTTTTCATTTTACATTTTCATTTATTGTCATTTCCATTCAGTCAGTCATTAAGTGCTATTTTTAAAATGTTAATTTGCTACATATCCAAACAAACAAAGTGTGAAATCCAATGAATGTTAATCTAACTGGGTTTTGATAGATATCTCTTTTTCTTCTTTCAATTATTTGATTTCTATTGTGCACTCTAATCAATATTAATCAAACTATTGTTCGTTTATACATTTTAAGAATGGCGTTTATCTTTTTTGAGAATGAGTTCTTATTTGATTTTATTTATTTGGGTCTACAACATATGATACAAATGTTTGTGTCAGTAAATGTGTAGGCGGTAGAGATGTTAAGATTCACCGATTCGCATCGGTGCACCGGCATAAACGTTCAAGATGCGAGTGCACCGGTTGAAAGAGTGCACATCGGCTACAGTTTGGGTTGAACCGGGTTGAACTCGCGATGCATCGATTGCGTAGCGTCTTTGCATCGGTAAAAAACCGATTCATCATATAAAATTCCCTCATCTTGTCAACGCTCAGCAGAGACGATTTTTGATATTTGCTTCGCCATTACGGAGGCCGAGAGTCTCAGTTATCAACACACACGGAAGTTGAGGGGGAAGAGAAACACAGCGCACCGAAAAATACCTACAAATCAAACGTTTGGCAACACTTCGGATTGTTCAAGAAAGACGGTGTAATAGTCCTTTATGCTACATAGTTGACCGCAGGTCATGGAGAGTAATAAGGTATCCGTAGACCTTTGTATGAGGTATCTTTATTACTTAACAGGTCTACAGCCATGATACATAGATCCTTCCTAGATGCGGGCTTGCATACACACAGTATCACTCCGCAGCCGCACCCCATCAGTAACGTCCTGATGGTATATGTGCGCGGCACTATATACTACAGACGGTCAACTTGAAAAATCGCTCGCAAATTGTTAACGATTCCGAGCCGCTTTAAAGTACACAAGTAGTACGAGGAACTTAGCGACGCACATAAAGAGGCGACATGGGGTCTGCGGCTGAAAAGAGAAACATGAAAGTTAGACATACGAGTTAAATCACTCAGTGAGGTGTTCTGTCAGAGAGAGTGGTGTTTAGTTTACAGCAGCCTGTGACGGCCAATAATAATGTAAATGTCTTCCTTACTGTAAGCAGTTATGAAATACCTGTTTGTGAAAGGTTATTTGTATTCTTTATTGTTCATATAGAACCCACTGCTTTCTGCTCACTGGTGAGTTAGCCTATGAATGAGTGTTAAGCACATCAGGCTGGCAGCTGTATGGGCATTGCACTATGGTAGCTGTTATTTTCACATTGTTAATCATGAGCAATGCATCCTTACATTGTTGGATGTGGACTGTGAGGTGTTATAGAATTGTACTCTGGAAAGCTTTTAAAGGCAACAAAATAAACGGCATGATGGGATGTGCAGTACCAAATATGTAAAGCACTTTTTTGTTAATGTATGATTTGCTGCATATAAGGAATAAAACAAAAATCCTCTGTCGTACCATATTGAAGCATCATTATTTGTGCATCGTGTTGAATCGCATCGTATCGCACCAAATCGCATTATGTTGAATCAAATCGTATCGAACTGTATCGCAACAGGGGTGAATCGTATCGTATCGCATCGCCTAGTGTTTCAAATGTATCGTTAATGTATCGTATCGTGGCAACGTATCGAGATGCGCATCGCATCGGCCTCAGTGATGGAGATGCACATCCCTAGTAGGCGGGGGTGTTTGTGACTTTAACCAGAGCTGTCTCTGTGCTATGATGTGTTCACACAACTGTTTTGCTTCTGCTTTCTCAAGAATCTTTGAGAGGAACGGAAGATTAGAAATAGCTCTATAGTTGGCTAAAACATCTGGATCGAGGTTGTGCTTTTTAAGAAGCGGTTTTATCACTGCTACTTTGAATGATTGTGGAACATAGCCTGATAATAAAGACATATTCATAATATGTAATAAAGAAGTGCTAATTAATGGAAAAACTTCCTTCAACAGCTTAGTTGGAATTGGGTCTAACATGCACGTTGATGGTTTAGAAGAGAGAATCATTTAATTTAATTGTTCAAGGTTTATGGCTGAAAAGCATTCTAGTTTACTATCTAGTGTAATATTAGAACTTACGTTTCCGGGAGCTGTTGATAACACTATACTGGTCAAAGGCAAGAGGTCATTAATTTTGTTTCTAAGAGTAACAATGTTATCGTTAAAAAAGCACATCAAATCATTATCGCTCCTCGCTCCTCCTGCAAAAATAAGGCAATTGGGACGCTACTCAAGATGACGCAGACAAATCAACTTCCGGTGAGACCGAGACCGAAGAGCGAGGAAATGAAAAATTAGAGAAGTGAAACGCAGTCATGGAGAAGCTCAACAAGAACAAATAAACTCATAGCTCTGGTTCCCAACCAGGGGGACCCCTACGGGTTGTTGGGGGGATTACAGGAGGTAGGCCCTACGTAGAAAGATTAGGGGTTGCAAATGATTGACACAAACATTTTTTTTCAAATTAATTTCCATAATCCTGGTGTCCCGCCTCCAGACTTGTTGCAGTTTATGAACAAGTGTAAAATGTAACCTTGGAAGAAAAGAAAAATATATTGTTCCTGAAAAATGTGTCCTGTGCTAAGAGATCATTTTATTCAAATCTGCTCCTTTTACAGAATATGCTTTTTTCAATAAATAGCATCTCGTAAAAATGCAATTAAAGAGTCATACTATAGCATATCTACAACATGTCCTTATAGAATATTAATATACATATTTATGTATAAAAGACATCACAAAGTGCATCATTATAATAATAAAAGTCCTCGAAATAACCTCCATACACCTCTTTTTTAACCTGATGTTATGCCTGTTCTTTATTATTTTATGTTGTAATTGTTTGTATTATAAGTTGACTAAGTTGTTTAGAATAATAACTTTTTTGTGAAGACCATGAAAAAATACTTCAAGCATGTGCAAGAGAGCAAACCTCAGGCAGTCATCAGTAGAGGAGCAGGAACAGTAGTTTGAAACCAAAGCCTTATTTTCTACATTGTTCATGAATACTGCTGTACTCTTGGGGGCCTCAAAGCCTATTTGCAAAGGATTTGAATACAATGAACCACACCTTGTTTGCACCTTGAACCAACACTAGTTAACCTCACTTACTCTTTGGTGCTATGAAGTTTAATTATGTTGAAACATAATGGGGGGGTAGCGTCCCAAACATCTTCAAGAACAATGAAAAAGAAAGTGTGACGTGCATTGATTTGTTGACTTCACCGCCTGTTGTATTTGGTGAGCGTGATACTCCTGCAACAAATACTTAGTTCATCTTTTTCAGAGACTTCTTGTGAGTCGCCAGTTTAAAAAAGGAAATAAAGCCTGTAACCATGGGAGGAGTCTCCATGCAGACACATCAAATATTTAAATAAGTTCTGAAAAGAAACAAAAAAAAGTGTTGTTGTTGTTTAAAGGGTGCATTTCACTCAGTCTATTTGTTTGCTAAGTTAGTTGGAATAGCGGCAACCCTTAAATAAAGAAATAAATCCTATGTACTGGTTCTTTAAGATTTGAAAGTAAGGTCGTAAGGCTTATTTTAAGAAATACATTTAAATTCTGTTTCACAATGACAAATAAATAAATCCTACATACTGGTTCTTTAAGATTTGAAATGAGGTTGTACGATTTGTTCAAGTAATACATTTCAATTATGTTTCCACCTGCAGCAGCAGAGCGTCCCTCCATAATGACCCCCGGTACCTGCTGCACCTCTGGTTGAAAACACAATGAACATCCCCATCGCCTCCATCCTGCGGGGCCTGGGAGGAAAATGTCTTCTCAACTGGGCGCTGGTGTTCTTCCAGAGGAAACACATCTGCCGAAGCTTCCTGGGAGTTTTCAGTGTGTCCCTGGCTGTCGCCGACACACTCCTGACCCTCTCCGTCACCGCCCTGCACCTCCAGGCTGAGGGACACCTGCTGGGCTTAAAGCTGACCCGGTACCATGTGTGTCTGCTGGTTCAGATCCTTGGAGAAGTCTACAGCGCTCTGCAGTGGCCGGTCGCAGTCCTGGCCGGTTTGGACCATTTCTTCTCCATCTCTCGGAGGTGGCAGGCCTCCAGCAGGTTGAGCCTCTTTGTGAGTGGCCTGCTGTGGATCCTCTCTGCTCTCTACGTCTTCCTGCTGTCTGACTTCAGGCCCGTCATAGAGGAAGTGTTTCACATCCAGATCCACCAGTGCTGGATCTTCCACACCTCTCAGATCCTGCACATTGCTACGTCTCTCCTCCTGATTTTGGGCTGTGCAGCGTTGCATGCTGGATGCCTGACATTAAAACATCCTCCTTTAAAAGATCAAACTACAGACCAAAGTAGAGCTCACTCCAGAAGAAGTTTTGTTCTCCAGACCCTGCATATATTTCTGAACACATGGGCTCTGTTCCTGGTGATTCTGGCCGTGCTCCTCCTGCTGCTTGTGGGAATCCCTGCCCACCTGGGCCTGAGCGGCGCCTGGCTCTGCTTCCTCAACAGCCTCCTGATAGCAGTGGTTTTATGTGCAGTCTGTCCCGCCTCACAGCTGGGGCAGGGCTGGGGGGCCATGCCCCACGACAGCTTCTGTGAGTGGAGATCTACATTTAGCCTGGCTTCGGAGGACAGAGCCTGACCACACAGGTAAACAAAAACAGGTCTTGTGTTGGAAGATGTGGACTTAACTCTTGAGACCTCAATGTGGACATGTTTGGTCAGACCACTACTTTGGCTATAATAATAACAATAACAAGATGGTATTGTTCAGAGAAATCCATGAATGAATCCTAAAGACTTTGCTTAGCCCCTGACTTTAATTTATTTTTAATACTAAATGTTTTGAATTTATTTTATAAACAGCTAATAAAGTGATTAATTAAAGGATGAATTGTTTGTTAAAATAAGAATTGTCCATGTCTATTGAATCAGTGTGGGTGGGATGCTGCCATTGTTTCACATAGTTGACCGTTAGCGTTTTGTGGCAGAATGGGCTTCTGGAAGCTTCTACTGTATCGGGAACTAGAATAGAGGAGGATTTGAGGACCTCTTGATATTGTCAGCTGACACATTTACATTTACAATTGTGCAAGATGCAGTCATGCAACTTTGCAGATGTTTAAAATGAGATTAGAAGATTGATTTTAAAGATGGGTGTGGTCCAAGCGAGGGCGCCAGAAGGAGATGTGTGAGGAAGAGGCCCCCGACCCAATTTGGCTGAGTCTGGTCCCAGGAAGGGAGGAGTAGTCACCCCGGGAGGAAGGAGTGCAACCCGGCCGCAGGCAGACGCGCAGCGGCGGCGGGCACGAAGTCCTCAGCAGGCGTTGAGGTATCCCCGGGAAGCAGGAGAGCAACCCCGGGAGGAAGGAGAGCAACCCGGCCGCAGGCAAACGCACAGCGGCTGCGGGCACGAAATCCTCGGCATGCCTTGAGGTATCCCCGGAGGCAGGAGCAGCCACCCCGGGAGGAAGGAGAGCAACCCGGCCGCAGGCAGACGCGCAGCGGCGGCGGGCACGAAGTCCTCAGCAGGCGTTGAGGTATCCCCGGGAGGAAGGAGCCGTGGACAGATGAGAGGCCAGACAGGGTCCCGGAGCGCACCACCCATGTGCCGATGGAGCATGAGCGACGTCCGGAACTGTCGAGGCGAAACGGGGTCCAGGAGTGCGCCACCCAGGCGCCGATAAAAACGTGAGTGGCGTCTGGAACCGCCGTCGAGGTGGTGAAAAAGGTGAGAGTGTCCACGCGAGGTCAACCGGCTGGTCGAACCTCTTCTCGGGCACCGGAAAAAAAATTGTTAACAGTCAGATGTTAACAGAAATACGTCGACAGCCGTTAACAGCTAGCCGTTAGCCGCTAGCTGGCAGCCATGGGTAGCTGCTAGCCGTCATTAGCCCCTCGTGGTTAGGAAGAAACAAACCCACGAGGTAGCAATCGGGTTGCTGGTCGACCCAGCAGGTCATGCATCGTCCCCCTGTTGGATGGAAGGCTGATGCGGGAATGGCGAGCAACGTCCCCAGCTCTTCTGCGGGGCGCGCACCACGCCTCAGTCCGCGTGCCGGTGGCAGCCACGGACGAGTCCAAAAAATCCCCGGCATTTCGAGAAAAAAACGTGCGTTCTTTTTGCCGTGTTCGGGTCCGTCCCGGAAACTTCTCGAGACTTTTTCAGGGTCACCAGTGTAGTGCCGAGAGATAGGGAGTCAGAGGCGGTGCAATGAAGGTGCAAAAGGGAACTTTATTAGAGAGTAACTCAGGTCATGTTGTCCGGTTGCAGTCCGGGAAGAAGAGAGAGAAGCCAGGAGGGCACACAACATATATAGACAACACCTAACATGTCCGTGTGGAAACAAAACCCCAACTGTAGTTCCATGTAGGAATTATACCCCAGTGTATTAATAGGTGGTCACCACAAAGTGTACAATATATATCACAAGACGTTCTAAACATTGTAAAGTGTATCAAAACTGTGTTTATCTACAACCGTTACAACCTGCTTGATGCAGCAATTAACAATCTAATGTCATAATGTATATTTAATTATGTATATCGCATATGGAGAATTCTTTTTTTGTACTTTGAGTGTAGTGGCTGTCAGCACTTTGTCAGCAGAATATACCATGCATCTGTGTTGAACTGTAATTCTTATGGACTTTTTAACAGGAATGAAATTGCTTGTCCCAAATAAAACCAGTAGGTGGCAGTGGAGGTCTGACCTGTTGCTTTTATTAGCTTCAGGTTTGTTCGGAGAACCCTGTCTTGAAGAAGTACTCCAATGTTTCAGACCTTAATGGATTATTACTAAAGGAAGACGCCAACGGCCTTTTATCAAAGAAGTGCTTTAGTTTAAAATATGAAAGTGTCTGGAATAAAATAAAATAAGTGCCATCATTTGTTTGGAGAAAGTGCTTAAGTGGTACATTTTACATGCCTGAGCCCAGAGTTGAGTGTAACGCGTTACAAAGTAACGCGTTACAAAGTAACGCGTTACTGTAATACTATAAGTAACCATTGTCGGTAACGGAGTAGTGTAACGCGTTACTTTTATGGTTTAGTCAGGGCCGGCCCTCGGCATAGGCAGTATAGGCGAATGCTAAGGGCGCATCAACCCATAGGGGGCGCCGAAAACTGAAGAAATTTTTTTTTTTTCATAACAACACAATTTCCCGATTTTGGATCAACAAAGTGCATCTTATTATCTTATACTAACAGAAATACGCCTATATTGCGTACAGCACACACACCCCCCCCAAAAAAATCAAGTTGAACTGCCCCAGCCCCAGTAAAAACCAGGGGTTTATGTGAAATTGTTCTTTTTTCGAAATAATGGTTTTAGTTTGCAATTATGGGTTTTAATTTTGTATTTGTGTTAATTTAAAATAAATCAAACTCCCAAAAACGTACACAGCTTCTGTGTGCTTTTATTAACATTGGAATTTACATTGTAAGCGGCCGCGGGGGTGAGAGCTTTAGAGAGCTCTCTCCTGAAAGACTGAGAGGCTCTGATAACCTCAGCTCAGTGAGGTAAAGGCACACCTTTATATGATCATTATAGTTATAACAAAATAAGATAATAGGTGAAAAACAGGTATAAAATACTGACAGTACAAAAAAGTTGTTATTAATAAACAAGAATACAGTTTGAAAGGGGAGTGATTTGTAAAATATCCATAAAGAAAAAGAAAATCTGCTTACAGTTCTGTTTCATATGGGTGTTGAGAGATGTATCCATAGAGCTCCTAATGTTGCTCTCAAAGTGCACCAGATTGATGCTTTTAACTTCAATATTAAAAAAAAAAGTCTTCCCGGGGGTGCATGCCCCCCGGACCCCCCTAGAGGAGGTGAGGTCCCCCCCCCACTTAAATCATGTTCAAATGGATAGGAAACTAAATACAGTTGCACACATCTTGTGTCCATATCTTTCTGTTTTGGTGGTCATGCCACAACCGTGCACGCACGAGTCATAGTAAGTGTCTGCATTTTGGGGGGGGGGGGGCGCCAGCTAAAATCTTGCTTAGGGCGGCAAATTGGTCAGGGCCGGCCCTGGGTTTAGTAATCACACTACAGTTACTAACATTGCCCCGACACGCGTTACTTCGTTACTTTTATAAAATAATCACACTCACTGACAGACTAGAGGGGTTTCCGCCGCAGGTTTATATACATGTAGGCCTATGTTATCTGCGTGACTTGCGAGACCACATCTCCACGTGCAGTGCTGCATAAACATGGCTGAGTCTTTTCATCTGTAAACTCCCTCAACGGGGCCGCTCGCTCTCTTTTGTTGATCGCCCTCTCACGGGTGAACAGTTCAATGCCCCGCTTCATTGTAGGAATTCTGTCTCTACCACTTTAGTTTGACCATCTCTGTTACTAAGTTATGGAATACTAAATACATAAGTAATTAGATACCTTACCGTTACTGCGCTCATAAAGAATGATAAGAATAATGCGTCTTGAACTGGTTTCATTAATTAGTGTCTTGACGTTTCACAGACTGTTAGCTTGTTGTGTGGCTGGTAGCCAATTTTAGAGCATATAAAAAGAAAGACTTGTGTTATGTCTTCCTTAATGCAATAGTAATTGCGGGTGCAAGTGGAGTCTCGCAGAGGCAAAACTGTGGCGCGCACACTGTAGGTGCGCCGCAGTCTGCGTGATCTGCCTGTAGGGAGGGGCGGGCCGGCCCTGCGAGTAAAGTAACGAGTAAAGTAACGAGTAAAGTAGCGAGTAAAGTAACGAGTTACTTTATGTAGAGAGTAACGAAGTAGTGTAATATATTGCTTTTTTTTAAAGTAATATGTAATATGTAATATATTACTTTTTTTTAGTAACGACCCCATCTCTGCCTGAGCCTTTTCTTTAAGTTGTTGATGTTTAAGTTAAGAAGAAACTTTAAAGTTGGTGTTAAAAAGCCCCCTTTATGATTTTTAGGGTTTTCCCTTTCATGTGTTATAGGTTTGTCTGCAAAGGCTAAACTCCCAAAGTTGTGCCTGTCTCTCCTCCAGTGTTGGTATCAGCAGTAGGGGGCGCCAAAGAGAATTCTAAACTTGCAGTGACTTCTAGTCAAGTAAAAATGATCCTTGACTTATTAAAGGTGATATTTACCTGCTGTTTTTTTGTATAAAAGTAAATTAACACCCATTACTATAAAGTTGTGAACTTAATATGAACACACACATTAATGTCATGAGATGAGCTTGGTATTTGTTAATGTTTAATCTCATGTAAGACTGTTAGAAGTTTATGACATAGAGTCCTGACTCCTGAGAGCTAAATGTTAAATATTAATACCGAGACTCTTTCTCTTGGTTGAGAAAGTCCACTCCTTCCTCATCCATTCAGCACATAAACTAAAACACAACTTAGTGACTTTTTATTTATTTAAGTCAGACAGAGATATACAGGCTGACCAAATAACGTCTCCTTTAATTGATCTTTTTGTGTATCATGTAACCCTCTAAAACACACTTGGTGAATGTGAAGCTGACCGTTGAGCGGCCCGACCAAGCAAGGAGGCAGAGGCAGAGAATTCAAATATAACCCGGTGTGGGCATTTATTCATCGCTGTGGTACAGGATACACAGCCTCAATATTGCTGCCCAGGTGAACAGTCACCAGCCACAAGGATCTCACCCACACTACCAGCCTTCACCAAACAGGAAACACAGAGCCTAAATACATACCCACTAATCAGCAATTAGACACAGGTGAGGGGGGAGGAGACAACACAGGGCACCAGGTGAACATAATCAGGAGTAACAGAAAGAACGGGAGGGGGAACACTTTTCAAAATAAAAGACATGTGCAATATACAAAGCCCGAAGCCGTCAGTCCACAGTGACGAAGCCATCTTCGTCACTGTGAACTTACAGGTGTTTTCACTTGCGCTGTAAGCATATTTAGTCCTCAGAAGATGGCTTGTCTAACTGTTTGATTGACACTTCAGGGTGAGGAAACTCCCTCTCAGTTCATGAATTTATTGACATGTGACTACAGCTACTCCTAACTTCAACCTGACGACTGGTTTAACCGGCCAGAGGAGTAGAACACATTATTCCTCCCTAAAGAAATATTTAAAGAGTCCCTGCAGTACAGTCTTTGAGAAAGGCCTGCATGGATCTTGAGTATTAGCCTTAAGTCCAGCTTCCCGCCTAATGGCATCAATTCTATTTTTGCACAAACTAAACTAAAACTTTATTCTTGTGAACTGGAAAGTAAGAAAGGCCAACTGTTTCAAGTGAAATGGAGGACTGTCTAACCTTAAAGGGGCACTGATATGCTTATTTTCAGGTGCATATTTGTATTTAGTGTCCCTGTCCCTACTGCAGTGTTTCTCAAAGTGGGGGGTTTTATCAAAACCCGACCCCTGAAAGCAAATCTGTCTAATTTACAAACTCTTCAACTAGAACACTAGTTATATTTAAAAACGTTTTAGAAGGCCTCACAAAATACTTTAATGTAAATTAAAATGTGAAGGAATGTGTGTATAGCAAATCACAGAGCGTGTATTAAGATGGAACATTGGTAATATGTGGTATTTGGATATTTCAATAACAGCAGACCTGCTTTCTGCTCTTGTTTCGTGGCTTCATCTCTTCTGGTTTCACCGGTTTCCTCTGCGGACAGTCTGCCTCACATTGTTGGTATTTATTGGCTCTGTTTTAAACGTCCTATTTTTCATTATTGCTGCAACTATCGATTACAATGCTCATTTAATTATCTCTGGATTCATTTATATATCAAATGTTTGGTGTATAAAATGCCAGAAATGTGTGAGAAATATCCATCTCAGTCTCCAAGAGTCTATAGGTCCATACCATAGACTGTATATAAAGGTCCATACTGACAAATATTCACTTTAATGATATAAAACAGAGAAAAGACACACTTCTATATTTTAGAAACTGATAACAGCATTCAAAGAAATTATCAAGAGTAACTAACTATTAATGAATTCAAATATAAAAATAGTGTGAGATTGTGTTGATCCCCTAATCCTCTCTGCTCTCCTTGCATGATTCTGTCATACTGCGCCAAACTCTTTATCCTGTTGTATGTTTTAAGTTTTAATGGCCAATTTTAACAGACACGTACAAAATATGGAAATGAGTCCCACCTTCATAATTGCAGCAGAATTCCTGCTTTTGAAGGTGTGTGTGGTGTGGCTGGATGTCTCTGTGTGGACTGGCAGGACTGGCCCCTCAGGTATAGACAGCCTTCGGGCCCCTCCTGCTACTTGCAGACCCCTGAGCCCCTTGAGGACATTCTGGATATGCCCCCGCCCTGCTGGACACCGCCCGCTCAGCCCAGACCGGTTTTCTCTGAGGGGCCTCGGGGCTTCACAGTGGCCCCTGCCCAACCCCTGTCCAGCCTCATAAAAGGAGCCTGTGGCCCCAGCAGCTCTTCACTCTTCGCTCAGAGCCGACCACCAGCCGACACTCAGCCATGTACTCCAGCAACCGCAACAACATGTCCTCCTCATCCTGCCGCGTCGGCAGCATGGGGGGCGGCAGTGTGTACGGAGGAGCCGGAGGGTCCGGAGTCCGTGTCTCCCAGGCCAACTCGTCGTTCTCCGCTGGCAGGTCCTTCAACCTGACCGACTGCGTGGACGTGTCCGCCAACGAGAAGGCCACCATGCACAACCTCAACGACCGCCTGGCCACATACCTGGACAAGGTGCACAGCATGGAGAAGGCCAACGGAGAGCTGGAGCTGAAGATCAGACTTTTCCTGAAGAGCAAGAGCCGACCTGACGCCCACGACTCCTCCGCCTTCAGGGCCACCATCATAGACCAGCAGGACAAGGTGAGATATATAAAGTTTAGAAAATAAATACAACGCAAAGGGAAAAGGTGCCAAGCAATGCAAAGAAGGCTTTGGAAACAACATTTAAATCATAAAATAACAAGATAAAAACTTGTAGTGAAGAAAGATGAGTAACAAGAAAAACTATTAGATATACAGTATATTATATCACCTTTTTTCATAAATACTGTTTAGTTTTGAAAGAAATTAACACATTTTACTTTGGAACATTTTAAGATTTTCTTTTCAATTTTTGGGAGGGTTTAAAATGTTAAGTTATTATAACTTCTTATCTTCTGACCAAAATTGTCTTTATAAGTTCACGTTTTTTAGATAATAAGGGTTTGTAATCATTGAGACTAAGTTTTGTTTTCTGTAATAAAGATTATACTTTAAACAAATACAATTTAATATAACATTTTAAAAAATTTTTATACATATCTTTAAGATGAACATTTTTCGTACTTTTGGATCTTTCAGATAAACTTCGCTGCTCGTGGAAACGCCGCCATTGTCCTCGCCATCGATAACGCCCAGCTGGCCGCCGAGGACTTCAAGATGAAGTGAGTGAGAGACTCTTTTTCCTTCAACACTAAACATAATATAACCTGATTTAATCTGTCTAAATGTTAAACTCTGCTGTGCTGCAGGTATGAGAACGAGCTGGCCATGCGGCAGTCGGTGGAGGTCGACATCACCGGGCTGAGGAAGGTCCTGGATGGGCTGACCCTGAGCCGCGCCGACATTGAGATGCAGATCGAGGCTCTGAAAGACGACCTGATCAGAATGAAGAGGACCCACGAGGAGGTGAGACCCTGAAGCGACACAGAAATAGCATTTAAAATGTTAAAAGACACAAGTCTAAAGTGCCGTTTTCCTGCAGGACCTGCTGGTTCAGCGGCAGCAGACTGGAGGTCAGGTGAACGTGGAGGTGGACGCCGCTCCTCAGGAGGACCTGTCCGCCGTCATCGCCCAAATCAGAGAACACTACGAGACCGTGGCCTCAAAGAACCGCAAAGACCTGGAGTCCTGGTTCCAAACCAAGGTGAGAGCTCATCTTACACCACCAGGACTTCCTGTTTAAAGTTTATCAACAATTTGTTTAGTTTTTTCACTTTTATATTTTATTATTTTGTTTCGTTCTTTCATAGTAGTTCAGGTCTTTCATTTTTAAGATTTTTCTTTCACATTTAAATTTTTTAAACATGATATCAAAGTCACTTATGTTTCAAATTTGTTTTATTTCTATTTTATTTTATGATTTCTCTGAGTGTTTTTAGTTTAAAAACGTTTTTTTCAAAGTACATGATCATAACTTTAATAACAAACTTTCCCTCACAGACAGCCGAGCTGAACCAAGAGGTTTCTGTGAGCACTGAGACGCTGCACACCACCAAGTCTGAGATTGGAGAGGTCAGACGATTAGCGCAGAGTCTGGAGATCAAACTGCAGGCGCAGATCAGCAAGGTGCACTATTTACATCTAATATTAAAGATATACCTTGTATATTTAAAGTTTAGACAATCATGAAAATGGATGTCTAACAAGTTTTCCCTCTGTTCTGACGGTTTGAGGAGATTTTAAAGTGTTAAGTGAGTCCCCCCTCTTCCTCCTGAACAGAAAGGAGCTGTGGAGATGTCTCTGGCTGAGACCCAGAGCCGCTACTCCGTCATGCTGCAAGGTTACCAGAGGCAGGTGGAGGCTCTGGAGAATCAGCTGGGCCAGCTGAGGGGCAACCTGGAGAGGCAGGGACAGCAGTACCAGATGCTGCTGGACATCAAGACTAGACTGGAGCTGGAGATCGCCGAGTACAGGAGGCTGCTGGACGGAGAGAGGTGAGCCCAAGGAAAAGTTGTCCCCACCCACAATCTAAGTTCATTGTTAGAATGCTAACATCAGCCAGTTTTTAGAAATCACAGGGTGCATCTGAGGTTACTGTGGGCATGCATTGCTGACGTGAGTTAATCATCTGAAATAAGTGTTAGCATGCTAAAAGTAGTTTATTATCAGTAAACACAAAGTGTAGCTAAGTTCGGTGTTAGCGTGCTAAAAGTAGCTTATTATCAGTAAACACAAAGTGTAGCTGAGTTCGGTGTTAGCATGCTAAAAGTAGCTTATTATCAGTAAACACAAAGTGTAGCTGAGTTCGGTGTTAGCATGCTAAAAGTAGCTTATTATCAGTAAACACAAAGTGTAGCTGAGTTCGGCGTTAGCATGCTAAAAGTAGCTTATTATCAGTAAACACAAAGTGTAGCTGAGTTCGGTGTTAGCATGCTAAAAGTAGCTTATTATCAGTAAACACAAAGTGTAGCTGAGTTTCGGTGTTAGCATGCTAAAGTAGCTTATTATCAGTAAACACAAAGTGTAGCTGAGTTCGGTGTTAGCATGCTAAAAGTAGCTTATTATCAGTAAACACTAAGTGTAGCTGAGTTCGGTGTTAGCATGCTAAAAGTAGCTTATTATCAGTAAACACAAAGTGTAGCTGAGTTCGGTGTTAGCATGCTAAAAGTAGCTTATTATCAGTAAACACAAAGTGTAGCTGAGTTCGGTGTTAGCATGCTAAAAGTAGCTTATTATCAGTAAACACAAAGTGTAGCTGAGTTCGGTGTTAGCATGCTAAAAGTAGCTTATTATCAGTAAACACTAAGTGCAGCTGAGTTGAGCGTGTTTGCAGGCTAACATGAGCTAAAGAAAAAATAAATAAGTAACAAATAAAGCAATAATAACTGAATTATGTTATTTCCCAGCCTTGTCACCACTACCAAGACCATCACGAGCACCAGGGGTGGTGACCATTACGAAGGAAGTGGACGAACACGGAAATGTGATCAACAGTAATTAGCTTCAAACTCTAAACAGAGTCTGTCTGAGCTTCTCCAATACAAATAAATGGTAACATTGTTACTGAGCTTAATTTGTTTTACTTTCACACTGATGATCAGCTGCTGCTGTGACATCATTAAAGAGTCATCTCTGAAACATTTGGAATCTTTTCTATCTATTTTCTTTGCACACAATATCTTTCAATATTATTTTATCACCAATGAATACATACATAATTTAGTTGCGAAATATACTAGGTCTACCATATGTTTTGAGGTTTCCTTAAGTGCCAAACAATTCATGGCACAGAGTTATTGTAATAATAATAGCAGCTAAAGCAAACCGATATTGTTCTAAACTGTATTAAAGTAAACAGGTATTATCTTGAACTGTATTGAAGTGAACATGTATTATTTGGGACTGTTTTGAAGTAATCCTATATATATAAACCTTCTTACCTACACTCCATAAGGCAGATATCACCAACACACACACATACACCTCCTGTCTCCATGCAGCACACACACATAAACTCCTTGACCCAGATATCAGCAACACACACACACACACGCCTCCGCTTATCAGCACACACACATACACTTCCCCTCACTAACACACACATGTTATTTTTCAAGGTTCTTTCTGGGGCCAATATAATCCCAAGCACCAATATATCTGTGTACAATGTTTGATACCAATATATCTGTGTACAATGTTTGATACCAATATATCTGTGTACAATGTTTAATACCAATATATCTGTGTACAATGTTTGATACCAATATATCTGTGTACAATGTTTGATACCAATATATCTGTGTACAATGTTTGATTGTTTAGGAAAGAATAGTTTGTGTGAAACCTTCCCTGGGAAATTAAAGGAGTTGAGTCCGGTGGAAGATAAGAAGTGGCTCTCCACCCCAAAATATGTCCATATATACTGTTGTTTCTTCATGCAAAATGCTCTCTGTTTCTGACTGGCTGGTCCCGATATCTGTATCGCACGGCAGTAGAGCGGGGAGCCCGGAGTGCTCTGTTTCAGGGCACTCTGTATTTCGTATTGTGTTTTTTTACTGTATTAAAATCAGATTATTGTTATAACTTTTATGGCGGTGTTTTGAACTCCTTCTTTTATTAAATCTGACCAGGCTCATCTAAAGGACGGCGCAGAGCAGAGGTGGGCTTTAAGCCACCACTACTGTGTCTGCCCCAACACAGCTCACTATAATTCTCTTATAGATCCGTGTAGCACACAGATTTATCAACACACTCTCACTCCCTAAGCGTCCAGGAGCGACGTTTGGTCAGTGTCCGTGGCGTCCAGTTGTGACGCTCCTAGGCTCCTTCAGCGTCATAAAGGGACGCAAATAGCTTTCAACTGATTGCAATGTATTCCCATCTGCGGCGGGATTTGACGCTCATGGAAGCACGGCATTCGTTTGTGTCGGCTGCCCTTAAAGGCAATGTGAGCGTCCATTCCCATTGGATAACGGAGAATTGTACACCCGGAAGTAAGTATTCCTCTTACTGTCGATTGATTTTACAGTGATATCTGCACTACTCATCGACTAAAAACCACCAGATTATCCTTGTTAATTACACAACATTGATTGGTTTAAATCAGGGGTGCCCAACCAGTCGATCGCGATCGACCGGTCGATCGCGGGGAGATTCCCAGTCGATCGCGAGATGTGTCTAAAAATAGAACAATAATATTCTGTTTTATCGTTAATGTCCTATAACATAATCTTCCTGTGCCAGAATAATGCACTTGAACGCATCAAAGCTTTGTGATTGGCCGGCGTGACCCCATGTGTCGGGGCGTGGCTGGTGGGCACTATTTCGCTGACGTTGTCCGTGTCAACAGGAGTGACAGTCCGCACACACACAAGACCGCAATTATGGCAGAAGCAAAAAAGTATATAATATAAAAATATATAATTTTCACTCCGAGTGGGAGGATGATTATTTTTGTATCTATTCCAATTCAAAGTCCATCTGTCTCATCTGCAATGCGAGCGTCGCTTTTTCGAAGAAGGGTAATTTAGGAGCGGCATTTCAAAACAGTGCACAAACGCTACGAGATGGAATTCCCTCCTAATTCTGCCCTACGCTCCCAAAAGGTGAGGGACCTGAAAGGACAGCTAAATGCACAGCAGTCCATTTTCACCAGGCCCAACAACAAGAGCAAGGCTGCTACCAGAGCATCTTATCGTGTCAGTCACGTTCTTGCGAAACACATGAAGTCTTTCAAAGATGGCGAAGTTGTGAAAGAAGCATTCCTGGAGGCTGCCGACGCGCTTTTGGGGACAGTAAAAATAACAGTAGCATTTCAACAGGTTTTTGATATAATAAAAACTCAAGTTGGATACCGTTATTAATCAGCTGTGAGTTTTAGTTTGTTTGAACTTAGTCATTATAATTATTGTTCAAAATGGTATAAGAATGCAAACTTAAATTGATTATAGTCTATTATCAATTCAGGTTAAAGGAATGCTCCACTCATTAGATAATTAATCAAAACTTCAGTATTTAGTGAAACATTATGTTTAAACCATACCCTGAAGAAATCAGCGATATTCCCCGGTAAATAATGATTTTATAGCTCTTTTTTATCAAGCCCTGTATATTCCGTCAGGCCGCTGCCATTTTGCCCATTTTTAGTAGTCACGTGATGGTCGTGACGTCATCCATGCGTTCACTTTGTAAACACCATATACAGTCTATGGTAAACACACGAAAACATGACGAAGTTTTGAGCAATATGAAGAGATTGGAAGGGGGAATTCAGCCATACAGGTTCGAGCCTACTTAGTACTACTTAGTAGATACAATGATTTTGATTACTAGATATGTATGCATGTAGTACCACCCTTGCTAGCGATTCCCTCTCTAGTTTAGCATACTCAGCCTCGTTGTCCCTGGCCCTAGAACCATGATTTTATGGGGCCGGAAAAACTGGGGAAAAATACCCACTAGCCGGTGTTGCAGTATAACTTGAGTCATGACAACTGGCGACATTCTATTATTTTCGTCATAGGAATCCGGGGCGTGTACATTGAGGACCCATTGTTGACTTACCATGTTGATCGCCTCGTTTGTCGTTTACGTTCATCTTTTGCTATATCTGCCTTCCTAAGATCACTTTGATGCACATTCAGTACTCGTATGTGAGGTTGTGGGTGAGAGGTGGATATCGTGACGCTTACAGGGAGGTATCGAACATTACAAAGTAGGTGACTGTGTGGATGCCTGTTCAAAATATTGCAAACTTGAATAAATCATTTCAATTATATATTTGTGTCCGACTTTCATTTGTACATCGTTCTTAATGTGATGTATAGTAGCTCTGATAGCTGTCCATACCTTCAGACAGCCTAAAAGTAAAACACAAGTCGTTTATTCACAGCCCGACCGCTCATCGACATGACTGGATCACTCATGACAGGTTGTGATCAGCTCCGATTAAATTGTGATATAAATGCTGTAGCTATTCTCCAGGGAGCACGTTTTTTTTATGAAATATCTGTATCCCTCTCATCACAACAAGACTCTACACTGTGCAGGAAAAACAATTACATACATGAAAATAACCTTGATGCATGGGAATGAATCACACAAACTATTTTCCGTGGCTATACTGATATGTCACAGTGACGGTCAACCACAGAAACGTAAGTCCAGCGGGGCACAAGTTGAATACATATAAAACATTTTTACATCGTTCTTAATGTGATGTATAGTAGCTTTGATAGCTGTCCATACCTTCAGACAGCCTAAAAGTAAAACACAAGTTGTTTATTCAGAGCCCGAAAGCAGCATCGAGATGACTGGATCATCTGCAGTGTTGGGCAAGTTAATTCCAAAATGTAATACAGTACATTACTTATTACTGTCTTTTTTAAGTAATAGACTACGTTACATTACAATATTACTGTCTCTGAAATGTAATGATCTACACTACTTTTATATTAGCCTACTTTTGATCACAAATACATGGATCAACAGTCTGGTGGGTCATGGTCCTTGTCATTTGCTTTTGTGTTCCCATAACAACATGTCCAAGATGTCCATGTGCCAGGCTAACACATGTGACAGAACTAGCTTGGAAAGGTTTTTTGTTGCTAAAGTTAACATTCAAGCCATTTAAGAATAAAAATGCTTACATGACATGTCATTTGTTAAACATTAAGCTGTCTTTGGCTCTTTTCTGATTCTGATTACATATAACCTGTTGTAGAAACATTTATTGATGAAATTGATATGAAACAAATGCCATAAATATTGCTGTGACACTGATGTCACATCGGGACATTAACCCTAAACATTCACAGTAAACCCGGAGTGACATATATGCACAATTACAAATATGATTATGATCTGCTCAGTTAATTTAGCTGATTCAATTATATTTAGTTAACATATTCTTTATTATTCAATTCAAAGTATGTTCAAACAAATGTAAACCAAAAAATCATCCTCATTAATGAAGTTATAAATAAGAGTTACTTTACCATTAAAGCCCAATGTGACATATATGTCACATTTCAGATATTTGACACTAGGGGGGGTTACTTGTCAGAAATGTGTTCTAGGTGGTCTATTTAGTCTAAATGACGTTCCCCTTAATTTCCCCAAAAGTAGAAATGGGTCCGGGTTCTTATGGGTTAAACGTATAGGCTTAACGGCATAATAGAACTACTGTATTATATGTATTCAACGTGTGCCCCGCTGGACTTACGTTTCTGTGGTTGACCGTTACTGTGACACATCACTATAGCAACGGAAGATAGTTTGTGATTCATTCCCATGCCATGCATCAAGGTTATTTTCATGTATGTAATTGTTTTTCCTGCACAGTGTAGAGTCTTGTTGTGATGAGAGGGATACAGGTATTTCATTAAAAAAACGTGCTCCCTGGAGAATAGCTACAGAATTGATATCACAATTTAATTGGAGCTGATCACAACCTGTCATGAGTGATCAAGTCATGTCGATGAGCGTTCGGGCTGTGAATAAACAACTTGTGTTTTACTTTTAGGCTGTCTGAAGGTATGGACAGCTATCAGAGCTACTATACATCACATTAAGAACGATGTACAAATGAAAGTCGGACACAAATATATAATTTAAATGATTTATTCAAGTTTGCAATATTTTGAACAGGCATCCACACAGTCACCTACTTTGTAATGTTCGATACCTCCCTGTAAGCGTCACAATATCCACCTCTCACCCACAACCTCACATACGAGTACTGAATGTGCATCAAAGTGATCTTAGGAAGGCAGATATAGCAAAAGATGAACGTAAACGACAAACGAGGCGATCGACATGGTAAGTCAACAATGGGTCCTCAATGTACACGCCCCGGATTCCTATGACGAAAATAATAGAATGTCGCCAGTTGTCATGACTCACGTTATACTGCAACACCGGTACTACGCTATATGGAAAGGTCACCAAAAACTGGCCTGGCCTGGCCTGGACGATAAAGGACGTTTAAACGGGGCTACCCGCTGCAATGGAAATGCGCCATAACATACCTTATTCTTACTCCGAGCACTACTTCTGGTCCTCCGTCGCTTCACACTTGCAGAGGGCGATTTATCAACTGGCCGAACTGGTGTCCTGGTCGGTGATGACACCAGAAAGACCGATGGTACTGCATCCTACGGTGGCCGGCAGGTGCAAACGCGGAACAACGGCCAAAAACAAATACATTAGCAGGAAACAGCTACAAATCCTGAAATGAAAAACAAACAAATCCTGAAAACAAATACAACCAAAAAACGCTGCATTTCCAGAAATGATGCAAACTAAATACAACACACAAACCCCGAAAACAAACGCAACAAAATGCTGACGCTGCAAATACCAAAACGACATGCAAAGTCCAAAGCACATACAAATCCCAAAACACATACAAAAGAAAAACATTCTGGAAGTGTTCCAGGCCTCTAGGGGGCGCGCTACGTGGAACAGATTGAACGAACAAGAGTGCTGCAAATTGAAGCCGGAGGAAACGAAGTTGATCGAAGTGGAAAAAGACGATATATAAAAAGGTAAGTTTTGTTTTGATACAAAGAGCGTCATATTTACCCAGCTAGCGTTAGCTTGTTTGGTGAAAGAGCTTGCAAGTCAAGAGACAGCACTGTCTGTGCACCTAAATGTAACTCTTGACATCATATAGATATATTATAGGTGCAGAGAGGAGTTGGTTTATTGTGCTTCAATGTAAATCCTAATGTGAGAGTTAAAGGACGGTCAACAATATAATGTACCTTGGTCAGTTTGGATTTATCGTGGCATTTATTCTTAATTAAAGTGAATTTATTTGTATTTCAGTCAGTCATTTGTGTGTTGTATGCAGGTGTGGGACATTCCAAAAGGGAGCACTCCACGAATGGACAACAGTTTGCAGGGTAAAATAAAACATTGTCAACATATTATTTTGTGCCACAAGAAGCAGAATGTTTTAACAGTACAGTAGTTTGAATATATTTGTTGTTAACCTTTATCAGACCTCTCAGGCACCCACAACCAGCGTCTGATCGGGTAAGACTAATTACAAATGTAATTATACCATGTAGGTTTTAATTTGTGAACATGAAATCAATAAATACCTTTGTGTGCACTTATTTCCTGGGTAAAAATAGGATGGAGCACCAACCCCATTCCAGGAAGAGGTCCAGTCTGCCCCGGGTCAGAACCACTTCTATAGGTAAACAAGGTTGACAGTTGCATCATGACACAGTTGTTTGCTGTGTATCTTTATTTTACATTTGTTTGTTTGTATAGCCTCCAATCACAGTGGGTAACATTGCCAGGAAGCAGAACAATTATACTTTTATACATTTCCAAATGACACCCACAACATCTGACATCTTAGTGAAGACAATACAAAAAACACCCACAAATATTTTTCAAAGATCAGATATTTTTTGTTGCATCCATTTCAAATGTTTACAAGGATTGTGCAGGAGTATGACAAAAGTGCTGTTGTCAGTTTAGAACCCAATGTATTGAAAAAACAGGAAGAGGATCGACATCCTTTTGTAAATATGACTGTCATGCATATATTAGGTATTTGAAAGTAATTATTCAACTGTCTTCTCACTGCAGCAACTACACAACTGTGTATGCACTTATCATTATTGATAGCCAGTCTGAGCCAGAAGACACAATGGAGCAAAGGTATTAATTGTTACTATTACCACTTAATTTTTCTATTCTATTCTGTAAATCTTATTACTAGCTTCATCATTTAATATTACAATACATCACTTTGTCTTTCCCAGCACAGAATACCTGACTGCGGCACACATTGTTGCAGAACTCTCTGCAAAAATAACAAATACATCTTGCAGCAGGTTCAATATTAATAGAGCCAGTGTGTGCGATGGAGCAATCCGCGGCTTCAAAGGTGCCTCATTCGATCCCTCTCATGAGATGTCAGTTAAGTTCACTGATGATGAGGGACACACTGAGGATGGAGGGGACAATGGTGGTCCCAAGCGTGAGTTCCTGACCCTCCTTATGGAATGCCTGAGAATGAAGAAAACATCACGTCAGCAACTGTTTGTGCCCCAACTGTTTTGTGACTTTCCCAGCCGCTCACTGTCTCAAAATCTGATTCTAAATATATAATGTTCTCTATAAAGATATAACTAATACACAATTATGAATGTATAATATAAGCTGTTTTGTGTATTTAATCATGCATTGGTCTACAATTTAATGATGGCTTCTACATATTTCACATAAACAGACAATGAAAAAATGTGTCCTTCATGCTGATAACTAGTGTATGCATCTGCCAATTCGTATTCTAAACAGAGTAGTGTGTTGAATCCTTATTTCTTGCATTTGAAACAGATACAATAAAAAAAGTGAACTTACTGTTGTGTTCAACTTCTGCCAAAAACTGTACATGTTTGCCACAGAACACTTGAACTGTCCCCAGATGCTGGCCACAGAAAGGACAAAACATGGCGGCCTGAAAAGACATACATTGATGTAGTAAATCCATTTAATCAAGTTAATCAAAAACACATAGTCTAAATAGTGGTTAGCTAAATAAATAGAAAGATACATCATGTTTACCGTTGAATCTGTGTTCTCTCTCTCTCCTTGAATGTCTCTATATTTGTTCTTGAGCATGTCTAATGCACACTACTCTCCTGTCATTACTTTGTCCCTCTTCACATGTTGTCACATCTCTCTCAATTCAATAGCTTTATTAGCATGACCATAGTTACAGGTAATTGCTAAAGCTCTGTATAGTTGCAACATCTATACACAAATATATACATATAAACAAACTGCTAAGAATTCAAATGTCCTTTTTCCGCGGTACTCACTATGGCCCGTGTTATTTGCCTGCACTTGATTTGTCATCTCTTTTAAAAATGTTCTTCCCTCACTTTATCTTCTCTTCACGTGAAGCTCTCCTCTCCTCAGCTGGTGTAGTAGTTAGGCACGCTAACGCTAGCTATATAAATATGACGCTCTATGTATTAAAACAAAACGTACCTTCTTATATCTTTCTCCACTTAAATGAAGTTTCTTTACTCTCGATTTCCATCACTCTTGTTCGTTCTCTCTATGTCTGGTCAGACATCAATCTGTTCCACGTAGCGCGCCCCCTAGAGGCCTGGAGCACTTCCGGAATGTTTTTTTTGTATGTGTTTTGGGATTTGTACGTGCTTTGGACTTTGCATATCATTTTGGTATTTACAGCGTTTTTTTGTTGCGTTTGTTTTCGGGGTTTGTGTGTTGTATTTAGTTTGCAACATTTCTGTAAATGCAGCGTTTTTCTGTTGTATTTGTTTTCAGGGTTTGTTTGTTTTTCATTTCATTATTTGCAGGTGTTTCCTGCTTATGTATGCGTTTTGGGCCGTTGTTCCGCGTTTGCACCTGCCGGCCACCGTAGCATCCCCATTAAGTAATGGTTGTTCAATAAATCCCATGTTATGTTTTATCATACTCTCAGAGTAGTCGTCCGGAAACTTGAAATGTTCGCTGCATACATGCACCTGTGGATCTTTCGGTTCGGGCCGGCCACATTTCGCTAGCCACTGCCTCCGAACGTACTTCCTACGCTTACCTTTTGGCAACAGATGGAACCGAGCATTCCGTGGATTGTTCCTATCAGAATTGTGGCAATGTTTCGCGATACAATGAGGCATATTTGAAGAGAGTAACTACAGTAAATAACATGAACATCAACGTTTCCTCGAAACCAAACGCATGGATTACGTCACGTCCGGTAAAATGGCGCCGCCCACAGTGTTGATGTTATTTCGGTAATTAATCAGTTTAAAATCACTGATAATGTCATCGGATTAAAAAAAAAAAAAAAGAGAGAGACTGGCAGAGACTGGTCTGTTTTATCGGATGATAAAAAAAAAAAAATGAGTGTCATGAGCATACCATTCCTTTAAGAAACTGTTGCTTGCATCCTATTTTAAAGGCATTTCTTTTTATACTCTACTAAAATGCAACAAAAAAGGGTTTGATTCTATTAATTGTGTCTTTTTTATTGCACTTTGGCAGCAGATTCCTGTGTAGCTTCAGATCTGAGTTGTCTTATTAGTAAGCCTAATTTATACTTTTGTAGCAACACTATTTTTATATAATGGCAAAGAAAGGGTTCAGAGTCTTTTCTTTTTTCCTGTGTCATGTGGCAGCACTGTTCAATGTTTCTTGAAAACATTACCCACTGTAGTATGTGACGTGTGAATAAACTCCAACTCTGTATCAACAACACTGCTGTGTAACTTCAGTTAAATACTTGTATGTGTGTAGATTAGAAAGAGGTAAGATAAAGGATCTGCAGTATTTTATGAGGTAGTAATCGTACAAAGGTCAGTTTTATACAAGTAGAAGTGTGTATGTACCTGGTAGTAGGCTGTCAGTAATGGCTACGTCTCTCTATTTGGACTGGTAGATCTCGGCAGACTGGCAACTTTAAAAGTAGCTCTCGGTTCAAAAAAGGTTGGGCACCCCTGGTTTAAATTGTGTGCAATGATTTTGTATTTTTCCCCTTCGATTCGGAGAAACAAATATTTTTTCGGAGTAAAGGATAGCAGAAGACACTACACTACCCAGAATCCCCAGCTATCTTTTGGACTACACCATGTGCTCTGTTTGACAAACCCCGTGATAGTCCTCAAGCTCTGTGATTGGAGAGTGTGCTCCGAGGGTTACGCCAATTCTCGAACAGCACTTGAAATGGGATGGAACCACGGCAGACTGTCCAAAACTGGATTTGAACGGGTCCACCGCGTCCCCCCCCTCCCCCACCCCGTCCCGAGAACTACACATGCTGGCTATTCTGTTTCGCAACATGTTCTCTATCTATGGCACGTCTCTAGAGTTGTAGTTTTAAAAGACGTTTTCGTATTTCCCATAATAAGAAGTTGCCAGTATTAAACTGTGTACATCCCTGGAGGTTTAGGGGATAGGAAACACTCAAATTTAAAACATATAATTAATAAATGGGAGAAAATTGCTTGTGCCCATAATGGGCAGCATTAATATATATACACACATGCCAGCTAAGGTCAGAATAGCTTTATTTAACAGCTGGTCTTATGTTTGTGACCCCTGTTGTTAATTGATAAGCCTGAAACATGCACTTGTTAAGGTTCAGAGGCAAATTTTGCAAATATGGCAGTAGCCATCGATCAGCTTAAGATAAGATATACTTTATTGATCCCAAGTTGGAACATTTGCGTTACATCAGCATATATAACAGTTGTAAATATGCAGTGGTGTTTATTTGTAAATCATTTAGTATAATCACACAAATTCTGTGTTTTATATTTAACAATTCTGTGTTCTTTATTTATTGATTGTTCAATACCTGACAAGGCCGGAGATGAAATATCTACATCTTATAAGAGTATAATACATTATGTATAATATCAGTTCAAATAAGTGCTTCAACATAGTTAACATTGCTGGAGGTATGCACAAATATTGATAGATGTCTTGTAATGCACTATTGAGGAACCTGCGAGCCAAGTTTTTCATTCATTGCATAACTACACCGTTCGTGAATATGATATGTCAATAAACCTTAGAAAATCTTGAAATCTTGAAAGGGATGTGCAAAATAGTCATTATATACAGTCTTTAATTAACTATTAGTAGAAAATAACGAGTAATGAATATACTTTATAGGGATCCTATTAATATCTAATAATAAAAATAATGAAATTCAATAACATGCTTTAACCACTAGGTGTCCCTTTATATCAGCTGTGCACCGTTATGGTGTAAATACAGCCTATCTACCAATTGGATCAAATATAAAAGTCAGCCGAATTAGTGTTGATACTGCAAGGAGACGTATTGTGTGAAAAGAAATGTAAGATGTTGTTTAATGGCTGATATATTTATGATCCACGTCACGTTTTCAGTTCCTCATGTTTGTCTAGAAGTCTTCTCATCAGGGCTCTATAAATACAGAACTACGGCAGATATGTCATATTTAAAGCAGCCGAACCGTGTATTACAATGCCGTTATGTGATGACTTTCAAAGAGAAAAGCAAGCGCACTCAGAATAAAGTATTATTATTATTTTTTTAAATGTTTTCGGCCTGTTTCCGGTATTTGTTAATGACGATGTGCTGTGAGATGTGAGACTGGAATTGCACAGGGGAAAATAACGTAGGCTATCTTTAGATGCGGATTTTGTTAAACTAATACATTTGCGCTGTGGACCAACACTATACATTGACGGGGAAGGGGGTAGCAATAAAGATAACACCATTAAACAGTTACACAACATAACAGAAATAATATCGATAGCAGCGTCCCTAGCAACCACCTTGGTAACAATGAAAACGTCGCGATTTCCTGAAGTAATCTTCGTAATAACTAGTAAACTAAAGATCATGTACATCCACTGCACACATAATCTGAAATAACAACTCATATTTCTCGCATCAAATGACATCAAAACGCATTTTAATGGCCAAACTAACTTTAAAATAGGCATTTTACACCGAGAATAAAACGAAGTTCGGCCATGTTTTCTTTTTCTGCAGGGAGAAATTTGAAGATCACGTGACATAGACGCCAGCCATTGGAATGAATGGTGAAAAAAAACGGGGTTTTTCAAACAGAGCACATGGTGTAGTCCAAACGATAGCTGGGGATTCTGGGTAGTGTAGTGTCTTCTGCCATCCTTTACTCCGCAAACAATTTAAACCAATCAATGTTGTGTAATTAACAAGGATAATCTGGTGTTTTTTAGTCGATGAGTAGTGCATATATCACTGTAAAATCAATCGACAGTAAGAGGAATACTTACTTCCGGGTGTACAATTCTCCGTTATCCAATGGGAATGGACGCTCACATTGCCTTTAAGGGCAGCCGACACAAACGAATGCCGTGCTTCCATGAGCGTCAAATCCCGCCGCAGATGGGAATACATTGCAATCAGTTGAAAGCTATTTGCGTCCCTTTATGACGCTGAAGGAGCCTAGGAGCGTCACAACTGGACGCCACGGACACTGACCAAACGTCGCTCCTGGACGCTTAGGGAGTGAGAGTGTGTTGGATTTATTAGTGAACA